ATTGAGGAATGAAGATTTATTATGTAGGAAAGTAAAGCTACGGTGTCTTAACTGTCCGAAAAGACCGCTGTCTGTTTTCTAGACCAATTTCTGAAACTTCCGAGGCCGTTTGCACTGGACAAAGTGCTGAATACATTTGCATCTAGTGGACACTTCAATGCCATGAAAGAACTCGCTGCAGAAAAGTACATCACATTAAGAAAACTACCAGGTTTACATCTTTACTGCAATCCCAGGCGTTCCCTTAATTACAGCCACAGTCCGGAACGTGATTCAGTTTTGTGTAGGTTGTTGGTTTCCTGTGCTTAACTTTATGAGATTTTATTGTTTCCTAGAGTAACTGAGCTTATGAACATTTTTAATAGGTTTAATTGTGAACGCATGTGTGTTTTTTATTAACAATTCTCAAAGTCACCAATGCCCTTTTCCCCTTTTGTGTCAGTAATAGAAAATGAACGAACTTCTACAGGATAAGCAATGGTTACGTTTTGATTGTATAAAATAGAGGAGACAACGTGGTCCACTACGTTGTTTGTCATTTATTATTTATCTATGATGACGGGATAGAAATACCCTACACAGAGTAATGTCAGAAAAGCTGTCTTTAAAAATGACTTCTTGTATACCCGGCAGTAGCCAGATTGACTGTGATTACCTCTTTGTTACAGCTACCAAATATATATGCTAGATAGCCATTCTGCATTTTGACAGGCATAACAGTATAGTTAAGTGATTTTCTCTGGAACTTTAGATAGTGTTTATTGTTATAGATTAGAAGTTAAAAACCACAAGGATGTGAGAACTACTTTAGAAACTGGAGAATCGAGCTTATTTATGTTAAAGAGGCAGAACAAATACAGTATTAAGAGCTTTGCAATTAGTATTACAAATGAAATGTTTATTATGATATGCAGGAAGCAAACTAGGATTTTTAAAGTTAATCTATTTCTGGAAATGAGGGATCAGGTGTTACTCATTTTTATATTTTTAGTGAATAACTAGCTCCTTGTGTAGCTTTAAAACTTCAAAGGAGATTAGAAAGGGCTTCCAAGCTGGGGCTTGAAGATTGAATAGAAATTTACGTGGTAGGCAGCTTGAGGATTCTTTGACTGCTTTTAGGCTGTGGTAACATTACAGGCAAGGGTGTGAAGGTTTCTTAAAACATGATGGGCCTGGGGAATTTTCGCCAGAGCTCCCGTTCTAGACTAGGGATTAGAATGTAAAACCTGAAAGCAATTGGGAACAGATTTGTTGAATTAGAAACATGTAAAGATTTTTAAGCAGGGAAGTGACAAGATGAGGTTGTTTGAAGTCCATGTGTAAAGAGTTAAAGCAGTGTTTCCCAATTAGTGACTTGAGCACTACTTTTTATGACTGATGGTATCTGAAAGTCAGATATTTACTTAATATTCACATTTCTGTGTAAATTCTTTTGACTTTAAACACCATCCATACAATCATAGATTGTTTTCAGCTTTTTCCCTAATATTTACTTAGTAAACAGTTTTTGTCTGTAACCTAAATTAGTCATAGGCACTTTTTACTTTGGGAAACTCAGTGTCGGAATGATTTTCAAAATTTTTGCTTTATACAACCCCTTCACGTGCTGAAAAGTGATTCAGAACTTAATGTTTATGTTATGTGAGATAATGAAGATTGCTCAGGCTTTATGCCTCTAGCCTCTGCAGCTATCACCTGCAGCCTAGAATGCCTGTGGTGCTCGGGGTGTGGGATGGGGCCACTGCCCGATGACCGATACCTGGGGTGTGGAGAGGGCAGCGTGAGTGGGCACAGCTGGGCCTGGACGGGGCTTTAGGGCCGTCACGTAGAGAAAGGGGAGGGCGGGTAAGATGTGAGATGGAGAGAACACCAGTTGATGCCAGAAAGAACCCAACGTGTAAAGATTCTCTCGGGGCTAGGAGATCTGCCAGCCCTCACCCCTATCCCCTTCCCCTTCCCCTTGCGCGCTTGCCCCGCAGCAGTCAGCTTACACAGAGCTTTAAAGCCTGAAAAAGGCGCTTGGGGCTCGGGTATTAGCCTTCACCTGTCTGCCCAGTCGACAGAGAACCTGCCCTGTACTTGCTGGCGCTACATGTGGGTTATGATTGATAATTAAATATTAGAAATTAAATAAGACTTTAAAACATTGTATCCATTTAGAAGTAATACAGCCACTAGGTTGTAAATAAGTAAGTTAACTTTATGAAAAATACTTTGTTTTTCAAAATAAAACACATTTGGGGGTTGTTTATTTTACATAGCTTTATAATTTTGCAAGTTTCTTTAATACCTGCCTTAAAGAACACAACACCTTGTATGGAGAAAACCAAGTCTAATTAAACATGTGGTTGGGAAAGGGAGAAATATTTTTTTTTCCTTTTAGTTATGAAGTACAATATGCAAGCAGAAACATAGATTTTTATTTAATAAGTTTATTTTTACATCATTTTGTACATTTTTTTTTCCATCTCAATTGTAATCCTGGCGATTTCCCATCACCATAATCCCGTGTACTTCTCTCCTCCCCCCGCCCCTTTTGATCCCATTCTCCACTCCACCCCCGCAAAATGTCTCTGGTATATGGTTGCTCATTATTTTTGTTATTTTCTCGCCTGGTCCATTATACTCCTGCTATGAGTGAAACCATCCGGTATTTTTCTTTCTCTTTCTGGCTTATCTCACTAAGCATGATCTTTTCCAGCTCCATCCAAGTTGCTGCAAAAGACATGTGTTTCTCTTTTTTGGTTGCTGAGTAATATTCCATTGTATACATGTACCACATCTTTTTTATCCAGTCATCTACTTTTGGGCATTTGGGCTGCTTCCATGTTTTTCCAATTGTAAATAAAGCAGCAGTAAACATGGGGGTGCAGGTATCTTTTTCAATCAGTGTTTTTGTATCTTTTGGGTGGATACCTAGGAGTGGGATTGCTGAGTGGTAGGGAAGCTCCATGTTTAGCAGTTTGAGGAACCTCCAAACAGTTTTCCATAGTGGTTGTACTAGTTTGCATTCCCACCAGCAGTGCAGGAGAGTTCCTTTTTCTCCACATCCTCGCCAACATTTGTTGTTGCTAGTTGTTTGAAGATGTGCCATTCTCACTGGGGGGAGGTGGTATCTCATTGTGGTTTTAATTTGCATCAAGGGAGAAATATTTTAAGTCTTCAGAAAATTGTGGGCCCTTTCACATGCTATACCAGGTTTTCACAAGTGTTAATTTCTTAAAGGTTAGTTGCAATGGCTAATCAAATTGTATTATTTTATGAGCTTTTATCCTAATCAAATTATATTTTATGAGCTTTTATGTTCTGTTATGTTAGAATCCATTTTCCTATTTTAGAATGTTTCAATACATGGTTTTCAGATGTTTGCAACTTATTTTTATAATTTTGTACATTTTTTTCCCAGAGAACAGTTTAGAAGGCCACGATGTTGTTCAACTTGAGGATATTCGCAGTGAACCATAAGAATATATCCAGTTTTCATGTTAATGTAAGCTTTTCTTTAAAATGAAGTGTACTGCGGTGTTCCTTACTTTATTGCCTGAAAGTGCCAGTTACCTTCAGCAGTTTCTTAATCGGGAGTGTGAGAGGACTTGTGACCTAGAAGCAGCATGCTTTATCAGGCTATAAATTCATTTTGCTTCTTTAAAATCCTTGTGCAGCATTTTGAAGCCCCTCAAGCCCACTTTGAGGTCACTAGTGGCCCCAGTCTGTTACAGTTTCCTTCGGTGTTCATGTCCCCCACTGGCTCTTAGCAGCTGCAGAGGACAGCGAAGGGGTGTCTGGGTGTGAGAGGCCTTGTTTTAACCTTTCTGAGGGTCATGGTTCTCAAGCTGCTATATCAGAGACCTTGTTGAAACAGGTGACTCAGCGCTATCCCCCGAGATTTACTTCTCTTGTCTGAAGCAGGTTGTGAGAATTAGTCTTTCAGACAAGTTCCCAGTGATGCCGATGCTGCACATCTCGGGGATCCATAACTCTATGATCAGCTCAGACTAGCAGACTTGTAATAATTTTACCTTTATTGTTGTATTATAATTGTTGTATTAAAAGTTTGTCACTTTTTAAAAGAATTGGAGTTAATTGAGATTACTTTAAGGAGATTTAAAGTATTTTGTTCTCTGACCCTAGTTATGATGTTAAAACTACTGTAATAAGTCATGCTAAAATAAAATAATGTCATTTCTTTTTCTCCTCACTAGAATATGTGTTGCTGTAAAATAAGAACAAGTTTTAAAAGTTTAAAACCATCTGTACATCATGGAAGAAGTTATAGTTCCCTACCAGGTATAAAGTCAGATTCTTCTCATTTTCTTTAAACTACTTTCTTCTCCCTCTCCAGTCTGTAAGCATCTCCCTTACTAAGTAAACATCTGCTCCTCACTGGCCATCCTAATAGGCTCCAAAAGGGGAGAGCTGGCGCAACAGTTGAGCATGTGCATTTGCATGGACTCTTACTGCAGAATACTTTCTGCTCCACTTTTGGTTTTTATCCAAACTATTTTCTGGTAGAGGTGTGACAGAATGATTTATTTTGAAGGTTGCTAAGAGTATTATTTATCTAAGATTGTATAGCGTAGGTAATGTGGTTAATAAAAGCTGTTCTGAATATCATTCTTGTATTTGAAGTAAGCACAGGGGAGACTCAGTGAAGCTAGTTTCATTCAGTTGCTGTTCAAATTACTGTCTTTGTCATGGGAAAATAATGGAGTAAAATTACTGACTGGCTATGTGACTTGTAAGGAAATGTGAATTTAATGACTTGTATTATGGGTATATGGCTCAGTTTTTATATTTTTTGCATGCATATTTAACTGTTGCAGTATAGGGTACGTCTTAATCTTCAAGCTACTGTGTTGTTTTCAAGTATAACAGAATTTTGGGAAAACTAGTTTAAATCATTATAGGTTTTGCTTTTTTTAAAATCCTACAAATACTACTTAGCCTTTTAGAAATGTTAATTATAGGATCTTCTCAGTGGTACCTAGAAGACCATCTTTAAGGGCATTGTCATTGGGATGGCTGCGTGAAGTGGGTTCAAAACTGTAGAAAAGTTAATTATTGACTGATAATAAGAATTACTGTTAGTTCCTTGGGCCTTGAAAAATGCAGGTTCACAGGACTGATTTTTCATTTCACTTTGTTTCAGGATCTACTTGTACCTTAAAATTATTGTTCTAATTCTATCGATGAAATTGTAGATGGTGGCAGAGATTAGAATAAGTGTTTTGCTAATGATATGATCTAGAAATTGTTTAAAATTTTTACTGCTTTTTTCTTTAGAGATTACTTGGGGACATTTTAGATAAGAGAGTTTAATTTGGATTTTATGTTAATTTCTTTCATTTTAAATTAGGGACAACCTCTTAAATTTAATACTTCATATTTTTTTTCACCCTCTTTCCATTAGGATTAATAGGGAGTGATATCAAATCCCTTCATTCCATCATCAGTCCTCCAATAGCTAAGTAAGTACTGTCACTGACACACTGTCTTTTCCATTGACTGCCATCAGAAGTTAGATTTCTCTCAAGAGCTTAATTTAGAAATTAGTGAACGTTCTAACTTCTGTGATTTTTTTTCTGCCTTACCTAATTATGAAAAAACATTGGTATATATTTTTAAAGTTTTTGTTTTTTAATTCAGTCCTAAAAAATTTTAATGTAGCACCAGCACACTTTTCAGAGAAATAAGTTACAAGGTCCTAGATAGCTCTTTTGTTACTTAGCTGTTTTGTCAGAATAATGTGATAGGAATATGTTTTTCCTAATTTTCATGCCAGTATATAAATTGTTGAAATATTAATCAACTTGAAACTAGCGTAGTGATGATATTTTGGTTTTACTTTTTAAAATGCCCACTTTTTAATACATGTTTTTTTTTTTTTTTTGCCTCTTTTAAACAGAATTCGTAATATTGGAATTATGGCTCATATTGATGCAGGGAAAACTACCACCACAGAAAGAATATTGTACTATTCTGGATACACAAGATCACTGGGAGGTTAGAATGGATTCCTCCTCTTCCCAAGCCCCCTTTAGTAAAAACATCATTGGGAAATATTTTGATTAAGTAGTCAACTTAGCAAATCTTGACTGTGACATGGAGACACTGATCTCCAAATCACAACATAAAGATAAGGTTGTTGCAGCATTCACCAAAGGATCTCCTTGGGTTCAACTAACCATTCAGACTTTCAGACTGCCACAGTTGGCACTGGTCTACTCAGAGAATGATAGAATAGGGACCGTAGTTTAAAAGAGACCAACAGTAGGGTTTTCACCCCATAGCTTGTAGCAATCCACATAGCTATATGGGAATTACCCTCTGTGGCCACCTCAAAGTGCAAGGGAACAATATATGTAGGTAAGGTGCCACCTTGGCTTAAAGGCTCATCTAGACGAATCTCATGTTAGCGCTCCATGATCACAGCTCTTAGGTTTCACAAAGGACATGTGATACCCCTCTCAGGGAAACCTCAGGCTCTGACGTTCCACCATATTTTTATGATTTATTCATAGCTTTTCCCCATTCACAAATTATTTTTTCATGAGATAGTGTTGCTTAATTACATAGTTCACATACTTCTGTTTTCTGGTTTATAGAGAGAACTGTAAAATGAACTAGAGGTTAAATTCTCTTGCAGAGGAAGAAAGTTTTGTTAACCCTTAACCTATAGTGGTAGTATTATTTACCTAAGTTTTGAATTGAAACATTAAATACTTTGATTTTTGATGGGGAATACACATTTAAATTCCCCTGTAGTCTCTCTCTCTTTTTTGGTTTGGTTGTTTTTCTAAAAATGTAAGGTTCCGCTCTGTAAATTAAGATTCAGCAAGTTTGTGGTATGTGGATTTTTGTATGGTGATTTTGAAATTATGTATTTGACTAATATATGTTCATGGTTTTCATGGTTCTCTGATGCATTAACCCTTGCATCATTATAGGGTGCTTTATATCTGATAAAACAATTTGAAATTTTGAGATGGAGTTCAGGAGGTCCATAATGCAAAGAGTGAAAGTGATTCTTTTTCAAAAACTGCATGATGATTTTGAAATGTAGTCTATTAGGCTCTGGAATTGGTTAAGTAACTTGTTCATTATGATAGAATAAGAAGTAATAAATTTGCATTTCAATCTAGGTCTGTTTGCTCTTTCACCACATTGCTCTTACCAGGTGTGAGGGATGTCAGATAAAGAAGGGGTAATGAAGGTTAAACTAGGAAAAATGAAGCACATATACGGATCCGTGAAATTAAAATATTTAGATAGATTTTAATCTTCATTGTTTAAGAAGATTGAATTTAATGACAAAATTACTAATCTTGCTGAAAAAGCTTTTTATACAATAAAGATTACCTGGAGAAAGATCGAGGGTTCTAAATATTAAGCCTAATATTTTCTGAACAGTTTTTCTTTAACTGTCAATTAAATATCAAGTACCAATAAAAAATGCTTGCCACTCTGCTTATGTCATGTTTTTCCTGGTTAGATGTTGATGATGGAGACACAGTGACAGATTTCATGGCTCAAGAGCGAGAAAGAGGCATAACGATTCAATCAGCCGCTGTTACATTCGATTGGAAGGGGTATAGAATTAATCTAATTGATACACCAGGTATGGTGCTGTTTCAGCAGTGCAGAAATGCTGCATCACTTGAGGGTTTTATAATTTGTATTACATGTATTTTTGCAAATTGTATAAAAATCATACAGTTTAACATATTTAACGTTTTAAGTTCAGAACTTACCTTGCAGAAGTAAAAACTAACCATTTCATCTCGGATCCCCTTCCTCCTCCCTGTAACAATTCTATGACTATGAGATTAACTACTCCAGATACTTTGAATCATACAGTAGATTCTTACAGTGTTTGTCCTTTTTTGACTGGCTTATTTTCCTCAGTATATAGTCCTCTAGGTTACCTTGACTACCCAACTACCTACTCATGTACACATTGTTTTATTTATTTTTTAAAGATTTATTTCATTTATTTATGTATACGAAAGCTGGGGTACAGGCCAGAGGTGTGTATGTGGTGGGGGTGGGTAGTGAGACGATTCACCAGAGGCAGAGTGGAGAGCAGAACAGGCAGATCTACTGAAATACACTGCTGAAAGTGAAACAGGAGAGGTCCGCTGTGCCATGTGGGTCAGCTCTCTGGCCAGCGATTGAACGCATGCGTCAGTGGCTGCAGATAGCTTCATAGTGCTGAGATTTCATCCTTTGTGCCACCAGGGAGGCCCTGGTTTCACAATTGACAGAATTTCCTTTCTTTCTAAGGCTGCATAGTATTCCATTGTTTAACACATTTTGTGTATATACCATTTCATCCATTGATGGACATTTGGACTGTTTATTTTTGACTATTGGGAATAGTGCTCCTAGATCATGAATGTGGAAATAACTATTTCGGACCCTCCTTTCAAGTCTTACTTCTCATCTTTTTCTTAGGTCATGTTGACTTTACCTTGGAAGTTGAGCGCTGCTTAAGAGTGCTGGATGGTGCAGTGGCTGTATTTGATGCCTCAGCTGGTGTAGAGGTAAAAATTATTGCCAAAGTGAAGACAGAGGAGAATGATTTTTTTTTTTAAATAGTATGTATCGGATTTAACTATAACCCTTTATTTGGTAAATTTGTCAAAATCAAATTATGGTTAAAGGAAGTTGGAAATTAATACGGAGATTTGCTCTATATGTTACTTCAGATATTTCACAGTAAAAGCAAACTGTTTTACTCTTTCTAACACACAGGGAAGTTAATGATGAGAACTGAAAAGAGCCTTACTTTCAAGTTAGTGAGTGAGCCTGCCAGAGTTTGATGAATTCTGGTAGCCCTGATTGCCATGGGGTGTCAAGTGACAGGCTTGACAGTGGGAAACCTGTGCTCAAAGAATACAAATATTTTATAAGCAGCAGAAAGAGAAACTTGAGACTTGATGAGATAAGATTTAAATTACTTTGGTCACAGTTACTAAACTGTACTTTGAACATTAACATCAGGTGTGTCTACTCCATGTGTAATAAGTTTTTTTTGTCAACTGTATGTATTTTCCTTTTGAATAGGCACAGACCCTCACCGTGTGGAAGCAAGCTGATAAACACAAGATACCTCGCATCTGTTTTTTAAACAAGATGGACAAAACTGGAGCAAGGTACTTAAAGTGTAACTCTATGACTTAGCAAAATGAGAATACATTTTGAGCTTTCAATGAACTATACATTTAGAAGGTGAATTTAAGTGTGTTGGAAATTCAGAGAGGAATTGCCCTAATCCTTAACCAATTTAGGGTTTGCTAATTTAAGAATAATTTTAAAATCTCGTTGTTGGTATCCTGGAACCAGCTTTTCTATTTTATTAGGTGTCTTAAAAGGGCCAATTAAATGTGTTTAGGAAACATGAGGCTGAGATGTGCTCTATATGTAACTTAAGCTCTTGAGACCTAAATTGCGTAAAAAAAAAAACCTTAAACCTTTTATTTTGACTCTTTGTAGAGGTGGTTCGACTAAAGGAATAAATGTGTTATTAAACAAAAATAACTTAAACAGCAACTGTTCCGTGGCCCTCCCTGGTGGCGCAGCGGGTTAAAGCACAGCAATGAGAAACTAAAGCCACTTCTGCATGAGTTCGATTCCCGCCTGCCCCAGAGGTGACCACATGGTGTGGCAGACCTCTCCTGACCCGCCCGCTGTTCCTCTCAGCAGTATACTTCCTCGATCTGCCTATTCTGCTCCCCACTCTGTCTCTGGTGAAGCCTCTCACCACCCCTGAGCCTCTGGCCTGTACCCCAGTTCTGTATGTACAAATAAATAAATCTTTAAAAAAAAAAAAAAGCAACTGTTCCCTATAGAGTAAATATAAATTGTGGAATCCCAATTCTATCCCACTTTAAAAAATACTTCTGAACAGTTAGTTCATAGACTAAATAACAAGCTGGGAGTGATAGAGGTCTGATAGGTGATCAGTCATCTAGGCTCTACTGTGCAGAGGCTGTATCCTCCTGTTTAGGGTTCTAGCTGGTGATGTCTTACTGAGTCCACTTATCCTGTTTACAGTTACAAGGTATAGTCTTTGTATTGCTGGAAGTTATGGTACTCCCCATTGTTAAAGTTGGGGGAGGGGAGAGAATTGTTTCTTATGGTTGCCTCACAGAAGGAGGCTCTTCCTTTTCCCTTGATATTCTTTAGCTGCTGGGTAATAATGCTCTCAACAAAATGGAATTGGGAGAGGAGAATGTGGATATTTTGAGTAAACCAAGAGTTTACTAATGTAAAGGGATAAATGCCAACATGTGTAATGCTCACTGTGACAAGGTATTAAGTTTATTCAGGACATCCCATGGAAACTTGCTAAATGGTGAACATTAGGGGAAATGAAAAGAGTTACAGTTATAGGACAGTTTCAAACCCATTTTTATAATCTTAACTTTTTTTTGGCTATAATTATCTTTCTACAGTTTTAACTATGCAGTTGAAAGCATCAGAGAGAAATTGAAGGCAAAACCATTGCTTTTACAGGTAATTTAATCAATAGCACCTTCTCAGTTTCTTCATTTTATTGTGACATGCATACATTTCAGAAGCTAGCAAATCCTTTGTGGAAGAAGTTGGGACACAGATAAAAATAGCTATTTATTATGGTAAGAATGGTAATTACTTGGGGTAAGTGGTACACCTAGATAAGTTTTATTGCCAGCACAGTACCAAATGAATGATCATTTAATAATGTTGCTCTCACTTTGACTTATAGTTACCTATTGGAGAAGCTAAAGCTTTCAAAGGGGTAGTGGATATAATAAATAAAGAAAAACTTCTTTGGCATCCCAATTCAGATGACGGAAAAGACTTCGAAAGAAAACCTCTCTTGGAAACGAGTGATCCAAAGTTGCTGAAGGAAACAACAGAAGCAAGGAATGCCTTAATTGAACAAGTAAAATAAACAGTTTGAGTTTAAAATTATCTAAATTACCTAAGTAATTAGAAATTTAACATTTTTTATTTATTGTAAAATGTCATATAAAATCATATTAGATATACGTAAAGTATAATGAATAATACACTGAAAACCAATAGCTGCACCACCCAGCTTAAAATATAGACTATTAGTAACATTCTTGGTTTGCTGTGTGTACTTTTCATTTTTCTCTCCACTAATTGTTTATCTTGCAACCACTATCTTAATTGTAATATTCATCTTCCATTTGCTTTTCTTTATAGTTTATGACAAATATATGTGTCCTGAAAGAACTTGGCTTTGCCTGTTTTGGGACTTTACATAAATGTAATTTTACTGTTAATAACATTGGTCAACATTTTGTTGATGAGATATACATGTAGCTATGTGTAGTTATAGTTTATTTACTATCTTGCTTAGTGTTACAGTATGCGATTATACCACAGTTTGTCTATTGTCCTGTGGGTAGACTTTGAGGTTGTTTTCTCTTTTTTGCAGTTACAGTGCTGCTGTGAACATCCTTGTATTTATCTCCTTGCGCACATGTGCAAGAATTTGTTTTATGGTTAAACCTAGGAGTGGAATTGCTGGGTCAAAGGGTATGTTCATTTTTCACTTTACTAGATGTCAGATTGTTTAGAAAATTTTAAAACTATTTTCATAGTTAGTATATAACTCTGGACCTCATCTTCCCTCAAAGTTTAATAAAAAATAGTAAGATTGTAAATGGTGATAATATTTATCAATGTGTTAATGTAGCGAGCAATTAAGTAAAATGTACCTTACGTAAACTCCCTGAGTCTTAAGATAGAGAAAAGTATTTGACTATGAGCCCTTTGACTTTTCACTGCTAACTTTAAACTGTGAGAATAGGTCTGATTAGCTTTAATTTTTTTTATTCATTTTTATGTAGTTATTTTTGAAGTAATTTTTTCATTATGATATGTAGTAATCATGAACTTTATCACTAGCATAGCAATTATAATTACTGTTTATTATTGGGTAGTAGTTATTGAGGACTTACTGGCTGCTAGCTCAAGTATTCACATATATTATTTAATGCTCACCCCAACCTTAAATTAATCCCCATTTTACAGATGAAGAAGGGGAGGCTTAGATTGCTTAGAATAGTTGTTGAACAACTGTAGCAGAGCTGGATAAGGTTAGAGCTAAACTTTCATGCCTTTTGATATGGGACATACAATGGATAATAATGGAATTGATATTTATTAGTCAGTTATTCTCCTTTGGGGTTTTGTGTTTTATGTCTTCTACTAAAAGGTAGAAAGAAAAAAATGTTGCACTGTAGTCGGCAGATATATCCCATATTCTAGCACATGACTATATATAATGAAAATAAAGATTTGAGATGATCGCTAGATGATTATATTCTAAATACAAGGAATATTTAGATATGGATAAAGTTAGAGAAAAAGACCACATCACACCATTAGAATTAGAGGAAACGTTGACAGGGATGTAGGGAAACTAACCTTTCTGTGTTTTGGCAGGAATGAAGGTGGTGGGGGCACTGTGGAAAACTGTATGGTGGTTCCTCACAAAATTGAAATGAGTTACCGTATGATCTAGCAATTCCACTTCAGGGCATATATCCAAATAGTTGAAAGCAACATTTCAAAACATGCATACTTATATATTTATAGCCATAGCAGCATTACTCACAGTACTGATGACAGAAACAACCTATCTATTCATGGGTGAATAGATAAACAAAATGTGGTATGTGCATACAATAAATAGTGTTACTCAGCTTCAGAAAAGAAGGAAATTCTGGTATATGCTACAACATGCATGAATGTTGGACATTAGGCTACTTGAAGTAAGCTAATCATGCCCACACATGAAAATCTCAAATACTGTATCATTGCACATACATATGAGGTATCTAGCATAGTTGGATTCATAGGAACAGAAGATAGATGATAGTTGCTGGATTGGGTGCACAAATGAATAAATATTTAATGGATGTAGGGTTTTAATAAGATAAAAACATTCTGGAGGTTGATTTGTATGTCAATGTGAATATACACTACTGAACTGTACACTTAGAACTTGTTAGATGTTAAATTTTGTTATGTGTACTTTACAGTTAAAATTTTTTTTAATTAGTGAATAAGATTAGTATGGACTAGAATCTTCTGCTTCCTGCGTGCTAAAGGTAAACAGTAATAACAGTAATACTTATTGTATGATTGATGTTCTGAAAAAATATCCTCACAACATCACTGTGAGGTAGATACAAGCATTTCCATGAGTAACCAAGGCAAAGAAAAGCAAAATAATTTGACTGCAGATTTTGAACAAGTAAGTAGTGGAGCCATTTCTAGGTAATGTGATTCCAGAAGCTCTTCTTCACCATCACATATGCTGCTTTTCAGCAGGATGGTTTCTGCTCTAGTTAGTTGTGTTAACAGTGTTTTTCTTACCGTGTTTTGCCCCCTTATACTGTTAGATACTTTTAAAAGTGTTTCATCAATTTTGTTGCAGAGTAATTCTGTTTCATATAGGTAGGCAATTATGAAAAGGACATAAACATGAATTATATTTTTATGATTGAAAAGATAAGATACCTGTGCCCATAACCTAAATAAATTCCATCTATGCAGGGTTACGGCAAAATTAGTTCTTTCAGTTTGACTGTCTTAGGTGATCTGTTGAACATTCAGAATTATTAGAAGAATACCAAATGAAACTTTATGAACAAAGATTTCTAAATTTATCTAAAAATTATACACACATATATGTGCATGTGTTATCATTGGTTGTAAATTCTATGCTTCCTTAATTTCTTTGGTGCATTCTAAGTAGTTATTACTGTGTTGAGATGGTTCATCAGGTTCATCTGACTTCCCATGAATTGGGAAAACTAATAATATTTCTTCAATTTTTGGTCTCCTTTTGGAAGAAAATTCTGGATAAGAGAGGTCATGTAGATGTCATGAAATATCTGGAGGATGTATATTTATTATATTTTAGAATATTTACATGTATTGATAATGTAAGAATATTTAGACCTAATAGTTATGACAAAATACACAAATTATAAAACAAAAGCCTTTCTTTACAGGTCGCAGATTTGGATGATGAATTCGCTGACTTGGTTTTAGGAGAATTTAGTGAAAATTTTGATTTGCTACCAGCTGAAAAGGTAAATTTTATTATATATATTTGGATTTCTGTTTCAAGTTGTTTTTAAAAATCTTTACAAATGATTAGAAAATTTTAAGTTAAACAAAAAATAGAAGAGCATTAACATAGCAAAGTTATTACTATCATAGGGATTTAAATAACAATTTTTTTATTTTCAGATATACTTTATAAAATTAAGTTGAATTTTTGCTAATATTCACTCAGGATCAGCTAATTAGTCATACTTTTCATTCTGATCATTTCTTCAAGTATTTTTAAGGAAATAATGTGTAGAAATTTTGTATTTAAAATTGGATTTTCAGACTTCCACCATGGTCTTTTTATTCCCTCACATTTTTTCCTGAGTCTGCTTGCAGTTTTAATGGAAATTCATAGGATAGCCCATTTTTTTATTTTGAATTTATTACATCAGGAAAAGGGCAAGTAAATGCTGATAGTAATTGAATTATTACATATCTTCAAGTTATGCCTGTTTTCTGCCAGGAATCTTCCTCCATGACTTTGGCACACTTACTGTTTGTTTTTCCTTTTGAAACATAAGACTTGACATGTAAAGTTTCTAGTTAGTAATATGCAAAACAGGCCCAAGATAATCCTGGAAAATTTGCTTAGTTGTTATTATTATTATTATTATTATTTAATTTGTTTATGCATACATAACTAGGGTACAGGCCAAAGGTCTGGGGCAGTGAGAGTATTTACTAGAGACAGAGTGCAGAACAGAACAAGCAGATCAACGAAGTACACTGCTGAGGGGAGCTGCTGGTGGGTCAGGAGAGGTCTGCTGTGCCATGTGGGTCACCTCTGGGGCGGGGATCGAACTTGCACTGAGACTGAGGCCAGCTTGCAGTGTTGTGTCCTAACCCATTGCGCTACCAGGGAGGGCCCCTTAGTTATTATTTACAAAAAGAATTAAAAACATAAGTTCTGTAGATTATTTTGAGCCACTTAAAGGTAAAAGTGGGAAAAAGGTGACTTTTTCCTTTGAATGATGTGATCTTTGAGTCCATTTTGAAATTTTATATTTAATATTTAAACATTTAAATGTGATGTTGATTAACTCTGTGGTCATATAACATGATTTCTGTTTTCAAAGAGCTCACCATGTAAAGTGAGATTGACTTACCATTTTTACTATTTATACAAACACACCTAAGCTTTTCTTGGTTTTGAGACCTTTTAAACTTTCTCTGAGCTCTCATTTTCCTTGGATTTTATTTAATTTGGATCTAATTCATTTGAGTAATGTGTAATAATGTATGTATTTTTTACTTTTTACCAAGTCTTCTTTTAGACTATCAAGACTAAATCACAGATGTGCTAATTCATTTATTCAAGAATTAGTTTTGACCACCGACTCTATTTTAAGCACTTCTGGTTTCTGGAAGTTAGTGTTATTATAAAACTCATGGATTTTATAGTCTAGTAAATGAAGAGCAAATAACAAAAAAATATTATTGTCTAATAAGCAAATACTCAACCAGGTAGCTATTGATGTTATAAAAAAAATATGAGCAGTAGCATCATAAAGAATGAGAATGTACTGAAGAGTGCTGTTTTGCATGATTGTTTCAGAAGGCCTCCAATTCTGATGTATTTGAAAATTTGACTGAGATAGTATACCACGCACAGAATACTTATTTATATCCCTGCTTTATAGCTACAGACTGCAATACATAGAGTAACACTGGCTCAGACAGCTGTGCCTGTACTTTGTGGAAGTGCTCTGAAAAACAAAGGTATTCAACCCTTGTTAGATGCTATTACCATGTATTTGCCTTCACCTGAAGAACACAACTATGAATTTCTGTAAGTATGCAAGTACACAGACTAAAATCATGTAGGCAAGTGGGTCATACTTTGTGACATTGGTGAACTATCACTATAAACAATACATAGAGCCATAATAATTTTTATTTGAAAAGGGACACTTGTTATCTCTTGTAACCAGCTCTGTATACAGTGATAGAGCCCATTAGTGTGGCATTTTGCTGGGCAGAGTATATATGTTGACCCTGCCATTTTAGATTTTTAAAAAAGTAGTATGGTAAGTCCTCACTTAACATTGTGCTTAGTTCTTGAAAACTGCAACTTTAAGCAAAACAAGGTTAATGAAAACAATTTGACCATAGACTAACTGTATTAACAGGAGCTAAGTTCCTGTGGCATGATTCTCGTCACAGAACATCATAAAACCTCTGAATAAAGACCAAACATAACTTTAACTTTAAACAATTTATATTCATTTATTCATTTCCAAACCGTTTACTCCAGTTCAGCATTGCAGTGGCAGGAGCCTATTGTGACCGCTTGGATGTGAGGTAGGAACCAGCTCTGGACAGGACAGCATCTGTCACAGGACACATGCACACACATTTACACTGAGACTGGGACAATTTTGACAGGCTAATTTAGACCCTACTCTACACATCTTGGGAAAGTGGGAGGAAACAATAGCCCTTGGAGGAGACACATGAGCAGACAGGAGGGGAACATGCAGGTGCCACATACAACAGTGGTCCTGACATGGAATGAATTTTTTTCACCAATGTTATAGTAAAATGACATTATTTGAGACCTGTATACTGGAATGTTTAATAAATATACTGTAGGTTTGTTTGTATTACAAATTTCAAGTTTTTTTTTTTTAAAGGTTTATTTATTTGTTCATACAGAACTGGGGTACAGGCCAGAAGTTCAGGGGCAGTGAGAGCCTTCACCAGAGACAGAGTGGGGAGCAGAACAGGCAGATCATCGAAGTACACTGCTGAGGGGAGCAGCAGGCGGGTTGGGAGAGGTCTGCTGTGCCATGTGGGTCACCTCCAGGGCAGGTGGGGATTGAACTATGCGGAAGTGGCTTTAGCTTCTTAGTGTTGTGCTTTAACCCGCTGCGCCACCAGGGAGGGCCCAAATTTCAAGATTTTTAAGAAGCTGAAAGTATTTCACAGCTTTGAAAGGTTATTTTACTCCTGTTGTCACTGACGGCAACTGTGTGTAGTAATAAATGAGCTAAAATCTGAGTGAGCATTTTGCAAAAATGGCAGGCAGGGATAAAACTTGATCCAGTTGAGTTAACTAGCACATTAGCCATTTTGCTTATCTCTAAACTGTAGAGACGGTGAAGTGACCGTGTGCATGGCCTGCATGTATTCGGACATAATGCCAGCTCTCCCGCATGGCTTGTCCTCTGTAAAATGCAGAGCACGGGACCTGTGACCTAGGATTTTTACAAGCATCAAATGAGTTAACATTTATAAAGTACATGGAGCGGGGCTTACTATGTGGTAAGTTATATAAGTACTTGTTAAATAAAGTTAAAAATTGGCGAAAATTGCAATAAGATTGGAGAAGTTCTATACAGAGTCTCCAGCTTGATTCAGAATCCTTAGAAACTAACTGAACATAATGTAAGATTTGCTCAGAAAATGTACTTATGTACACATTTGGCAGTTTCTTTATAAGATTTATTTATTCGTACAGAACTGGGGTACAGGCCAGAGATGCAGAGGGTGAGAGGATTCACCAGAGACAGAGTGGGGAGCAGAACAGGCAGATCAAAGAAGTACACTGCTGAGGATGCAGTGGGCAGGTCAGGAGAAGTCTGCCACGCCATGTGGATCTCCTCTGGGGCAGGCAGGGACCAAACTCATGCAGAAGTGGCGTAAAGCTGCTTAGTGCTGTGCTTTAACCCACTGCGCCACCAGGGAGGGCCACATTTGGCAGTTTCAAAGGCAATCAAACTCTGAAATCTTATCAGTGAACACCAGTTTAAGGACATGCGTCTCTAAGAATATATTTGTATAAACAATTTCAAGTTTATGATGTACATTTATATGAAAGCAGTAATTGGAAAACACTTATTTGCTTACCATGTACAGGTTTTTTGAGAGGTGGTGTGATGTTCCTGGGTGTATTTTTTTGTGGAGGGAACTCTTGGCAGTGGAATTATTTGCAAACCAATGGACTATTTGGAAGATACTTCATTGATTTTAGTTTTGAGAAATTAATGTCAAGAAGTCACAAATTTAGTCCAGTGGAGGGAATAGTTACCATTATTTAATCTGCCTGAGAACTTAAAAGATCTGAGGGGACTTTGGAGGACAGCATGGCTAAGTCTATGCAGTGATTCAGATCTAGTTGTGTAGATATATGGGAAGTATATTTTAACTTTTCTGGACTGTCTCCTTGATTTGATAGGCAGTGGTATCAGGGTGACTTATGTGCACTGGCATTTAAAGTTCTTCATGACAAGCAGCGAGGACCACTGGTTTTTATGCGTGTTTACTCAGGCATGATTAAACCCCAGTTGGCTGTCCACAACATTAATGGAAGCTGCACGTAAGTAGATGCCCAAGTTAATTTTTAAAACTGTATTTTTTTTATAAAATACTTTACTAAATAAATAATCATGTTTTATAGGGAGAGAATAAGTCGCCTGCTTTTGCCATTTGCTGACCAACATATAGAAATCCCATCTCTGAGTGCTGGGAACATTGCTTTGACTGTTGGGCTCAAACATGTAAGTGATAGAATGATTCCTCAGGCAATAGTAACTTAAACATTTCATTAAAAGTATATGTTTGTGGTAGAAATATTGCATAAACAACCAAATATCCATTAGAAGAATAATTATTGTAACATATTAACATTGTTGAACTGATACATTTAGTAGAAAGAAAAGTAAATTACAGAAGACTTTAAAACAGTATGGATTGGAGCCATATAAACTGCAAAGCCAAGTAAAATTGCTTACTGTTCTTGGATGTGTACATATTTTAAGTTTATATAAAATGTCATTCCCATTGCAGTATGTCAGGAAACTTTTTATTGAGCTGACATTGCATTATAAAATTATGTTTTGAGTGTGCATCAGTATAAGTCAACATCTGGTTATATGACTTTATTTCACCACTAAAAGTCCAGTTCCATACTTAACTATACAAGGACCCCCTTTGTGTAAGTTATAAACCCTCTTGCCCCCTCGCCTTCTGGTAACCACTGTTTTTCCTTATAGACTAGTAGCTTATTTTTTTACTTTGTGCATTCTTAAATCTCAGGGTGTTTATCTTTCTTCATCTGATTATATCACTAAGGATAATATGTTCAGGGACTGTCCACATTGCTGCAGATGTCAAGGTTTCCTCCCATTATAGGGCCGAGTAGTATTCCATTGTGTGTGTATCTGTATGTAAAATTACTTTATTCAGCCATTTGTGGATGGGCTCTTAGGCTGTTTCTAACCCTTGACTATTGTAAATAATGTGATGTACTTGGAGATGTCTGTCTCTCTTCCAGTTAGTGCTTTTCTATTTGGGTAAATAAGTGATCACATAAGTGATCACTGGATCACATGAAGTCTCTTTTTTTAACTTTTCATACAGTCTGTATAGACTACTTTCCATAATGGCCGCATCAGTTTACATTTTCACTGAGAGTGTATAAGGATTCCCTTCTCGCTGCATCCTTTCCAACACTTGTTTGTTGCCTTTTGGGTAATAGTGAGTTCTCATGATGTGAGGTGCTATCTCATTGTTTTGATTTGCATATCAAACCAAATGATGAGCATCTTCACATGTGCCATGGGCCATCTGAATGTCTTTGGAGAAGTGTCTATTCAGATTCTCTGTTCACGTTTAATTTGGGTTGTTTAATGTTGCTGACTTTTATAACTTCTTTGTATATTTTGTATATTAATCATACCTTGTTAGATGTATGATTTGTAAAGTCTTTTCCCATTCAGTGTGTGTTTTCAAGTTTTGACGAATTTCTTCTGTTGCACAGTTTTTCAGTTTGATGTAGCCTCATTTAATTATTTTTCCTTTCGTTTGCTCCTTTGCCTTTGGAGTTGAGTCCCAAAAGACGCCTTCCTCACTGAATTGAAATATACCACATGTATTTTTTTTATGTATTTTCTGGTTATAAGTCTCTAAATCACTTTTAATATTTTGTGTATCATCTTAGATAGTTCATTCTTCTGTGGTTAGCCAGCTTCCCAATATTTATTGAAGAGAGTTCTCTTGCTCCATCCATTGTACATTCATGGTTCCTTTGTCATAAAATAATTGTCAGAGTGTGTGTGTGAGTGCTGCATGCCATTGGATTTATTTCCGGAATCTCAGTTTTTCTTCATCTATTTGTTTTTCTTTCAGCACTGTGCTGTTTGATTAATATTTCTTGGTAATATAAAGGTCAGGGAGTATAGCTCCACTTTTTTTTTTCCCAAAAATTTTTGTTTTTGTTTTTTAGGGTTGTTCGCAATTCCAAATAAGTTTAGGATTTTTTTTGCTCTATTTCTGTGAAGAATGCTTTGGAATTTTGATAGGGATTTCATTAAATATGAATATTACTTTAAGTGATGTGGCCATTTTAATGATGTGAATTCTTCCAGTCCCTGAGCATGGCATCTTCCCATTTCTTTATATTTTCTGTTCTTCCACTTTTTTTTATAATTTTAGGTATATATAGGTTTTCCACCTCCTTGATTAAATTTATTCCTAGATATTTCTTTTTTAAGTGCCATGGTAGCTTTTTTTAAAAAAATTTTTGCCTTACTGAAACACTGAGTGCTTCCCAAATAGTCTGTTTTGTTTCAAAAATTCTTATTTGCTTGCAGACTGCAACTGGAGACACCATAGTCTCATCCAAGTCCAGTGCATTAGCTGCTGCTCGTCGAGCCGGAAGGGAGGGAGAAAAGAAGCATAGACAAAACACTGCAGCTGAGAGACTTTTATTGGCTGGAGTGGAGATTCCAGAACCTGTTTTCTTCTGTACCATAGAACCCCCATCAGTGGCTAAGCAGCCAGGTACAAGTAGTTTTGTTGTATCAATTAGTGCTCTGGTTAGTTATATAAACATTATATTGACAAAGGATTTCTTAAGTGGTTGTGTTCAATTTTATCAGAATGTGTAGACACTTCTTGTGACTAGTCGAGTGTTATTTAAGATGTTTTGACTTTCACAAACTCCTTTTATTTTTTTCTTTTCTCGTGTATTAGTCATTTTTCTCATCTTCTTCCTTACTCTCATGATGCTATATTGGAATTCTAAGTAATTGCCGTGAGGACTGTTCTTCCTGTTAGATTTCATAGTAACCAATTCATAACTTACTCAGCTTCACATCATAATTTGTAAAAACTATTTCCTATTTTCTAGCTCAACCGCCATAATTCTTTGATAGAAAAATACACATGTATACATACACACACCTCATAGTTGATTTGTTTGGTATTCTTGAGTGTCATACAGTTCACTCTTTAGCATATTTGCTCAAACTTTTAGTGGCTCCTTAATATGGTATTTAAAACTCATGCGTCCAGTTGTATCACTTCAGTTAACTTTGGTGAAATACGGTCAAAAAACCCCAAATAACAGTTGCTTTCATGACAAAGATTCGTATCTCCCTCTTATGGTGTCTGCCTTGAGTTGGTATCCTGGGGGTTAGAGGATGCTTCAGTGTCATCAGACATCAGTCCAGTCTTTCCACCCTGGTTGCTCTGGGACACAGCTCCTAGTCTCACTCAGTTCACGTTGGAGTCCCTGACAAAAGAAAGGGGGGAAAGGCCACGTGTCCCTCTTCCTTTTAAAATTTCTTAGGTGTGATTGGCTAAATCTTTGACACCTGACTGCCAGTGCAGAGATGTCTACTAGGTGTGGTCTTTCAGCTAGGCAGCAGCAGAGCAGAGGAAAAGGCTTCTAGCAGTCTTTGACATCAGCTTTGCTACCTGACCTCACTTCTTAAAACCTCACTCTGAACCCTCTTTTTGCACCCAAATGAGAATAAAAAGAGTAACTTAACTTATACCTTACACTCCCATAGTAAAGTAGTTCTGATTTCTGGAAGAAGCCACCCTACTTTGCATTTATTCTCTCTTGTTCTATGATGGCTGAACTTGTCTGCTGAGGGAATAGTGAATTTTTCTTTAGGTCTCAGCTTGGGCATCATCTCTTTTTGAGACCTTCACTGATTTACTATTTTAGACTGTTTAAGAATGAACTTTCTGAAGATCCTTATTATGTAGGAATTCCATTTTCTTACCTTTCCAGCTGAGTTTATATGAAAAAAAAAAAAAAATCTCAGTATAAGACAGCCCCTAAGTATTGAAGGAAATTGGAGTTCTCTTGTGCAATTGGTTATAAATGAATGAATGAGTGAATGAATGAATGAATGAATAAGTGAATGAATAAGTGAATGAATGAGTGAATGAATGAGTGAATGAATAAGTGAATGAATGAGTGAATGAGTGAATGAATGAGTGAATGAATGAGTGAATGAATGAGTGAATGAATGAGTGAATGAATGAGTGAATGAATGAGTGAATGAATGAGTGA